AATTTATGAAAAAAAAATTACTTATTTGCAAAATCTTATAATAGAAAGAAAAAAAAAAAAAGATTTTTTTTTTTTTTTTTTACTTTTCACCTTTTGCTTATATCTCAAAAAATAAAACACTTAACTGTGATTAAATTCCCAAATACAAAGAAACAATTGCCTGTGGCGCTCGTTCACAGATCAGGTGCTGTTAATTTACTGAAATGAATCACTGCTAGTGTTTGAGTAACAATGTGGTCTGCTCACTGACTAAACCTTTGTAACAATTTATAAGTAAACACACATGATACAATGTTAAAAATTCTCCTACTGTGACATATGAGGATAAACATAATCTCGGAGGTTAGGCTGTGTAACTAGAAATATATATGGAACCAGGCTGCTGATTCCAATCTGGCCTGGGAAGACCGATACCTGAAATGTATAAATGGGGAAGGAGAGAGAAGCACCCAAGGAACCAATATAGTGTAGTTTGTCAATTTATTTAAAAAAGGGTTAGGCTGATGAAGGAAGTTTGTTGTTCTAAAAACGTGTTCCCTAGTCACACACACTCATTCCCTTGGTGGTGTTACCAGGCTGCTCATCCTTTCCTGCATGGCAGTTCTTTCCAGCAAAGCTTCGGTTCCAGCAATCCGCCGATCCACTGATTCACCAGTGTACACAGCGGCTGAAGCTCTTGCCCTTTTTGCTATGCTCCTGGCCTTGCATCCTGCTCTCTCAGGCATCCATGCTCTCTGCACCTCCAGTGGATGCCTTTCCATCCAGCTCCCAGTGGCTCAAGTCATCCATCTGCCTGCGGTTATGGACTTTTGCCCGGGGTCAGTAGGAGGCACCATGAAATGCCCCTGGTATCTTTTTATAGGCTTTTTTGAGTGTGGGCAAGGACAGAGGGGCCCCATGATCCCCTATTGCCCGGGGGCCCCATGAGTTGTCTGTACACTCGTTTCTAACTCTTGCCAAACACCTCTATAGCCTTTGACAGGTGTTTGGGAAGCGTTTTTAACGCTCCTCAAACGCCCTATGTGTGGTTTTGAGGCATTTGCCAAGCGTTAAAACCGCACCACAAACGCCTATAATGAAGTGAAATGATATTAACACTGCACAAATGCCTCGCAACCGCCTGCCGGGTGTTTGAGGAGCGGCACCATAGACTTGAATGGGAGGCTTCAACTCCTCCTGACTCAACATGAGGTGTCAGTTTTGCCGTGATGCAACACGACACTAAGGCTTCAGTGTGAACAGCACTGTGTGCTGCCATGTGCAGAATTTATATAGGCATTTGAGAAGCGTTAAAAACGCTTGTCTGACGCCTGCTTACAAAGCTAGTGTGAACGTAGCCTAACTTTCAGGTAAACCAATTAATTTACACGTATTGGGATTTTTTTTAGCAAAGACACGTAGCAGAATACATTTTGGCTTAAATTTGACAAAATTAGATTTTTAAAATTTTTTACAGGGCATGTTTAAAAGCAAAAAGTTAAAAGTATTTTTTCTCAAAATTGTCGGTCTTTTTTTTTTATAGCGCAAAAAATAAAAAACACACAGGCGATTAAATAACACCGATAGCAAGCTCTATTCATGGGAAAAAAAGGACGTAAATTTAATTTCGGTGCAACATTGTATGACTGCGCAATTGTCAAAGTAACGCAGCGCCGTAATGCAAAAAATGGCCTGATAAGGAAGGAAGGTAAATCCTCTGGAGGGCAAGTGGTTAACATTCCTTTTTTTTTTTTTGAACAGAAGAAACCCCTATTTAAAAGACGGAATGGACAAAAAACGGATGTAAATGGACAAAAACGGATGCAAACTGATGAAAAACGGATGTAAACTGATGTTTCTTCTTGGAAAAAATATGACTGAACTGATAAAAAAAGCCCCGGAATGCCCGTGTGAAAGGGGCCGAAGACTATTTACCTATAAACAGGTACATGTTACTGGTTGGAACCCACAGCCAGATTAAAGGAATTTTATCCTGGTGTCTTTATCCGTGCTTGCAGATTTTTACTCCAGCAGGTGTGCCAATGGGGCCGCAGTTGTTCTTGGAGTCAAGGCGCAGTAAAGGGAACCCAAAGTTACCAAGCAGCTCCTTCAAGGGTGGCACCAGTGGCATCCCAAGGCAGGTTCGGGGGGTGTGGTCCACTCCGGGTGACACCGACCGCATGGGGTGACACTGGACCCGCTCCAAGAAAAGGTAAGTTGTAAAAAAAGCCGACGATCCTCGCAGAATGGATCGGATCTGCGGATTGAGCATAATGGATCGGAGTCCAATCCATTATGCTCAGTTCACAGATCCGATCCATTCTGCGGGGATCATCGGAGGGGTGTCACCAAGTGTTACTGCAACGGGTGACACCAACCCTAGGGACGCCTCTGGGTGGCACTACACAAGATTTGTGAATGGCTCCTCTTTGAAGTGCTGAGCATATGGGGTAATAATGTATGACCTTTGTAGACCTGTGCTGACCTAGACACCTCAGTGAGCTCATCAACGGCCATGTAATAGGAGGTGAGTGGCTATAACTCGTCAACGATCCAGTCAGACCGACCACAGATATGACTCACACCTGACTCAATCACTGGATGTCACTACCTAACCTCACCGCCCACCTGACACGCTGTTCTGGTCTACATCACCACTAGCGTCACACTATACACCCTCTGAAACGGCCCAAATGAAGAGAAAACTGTCCCTAAAATGTCTCCATAGCACAGGGAAAATTCAAGCCTCCGGCCATTTTCTTGCAGTCTGCAGTTCACCTGATGCGGGTCACCAATCTCAAGATGGCTGCCGCTCTGAAGACGTCAAGTAGTCCGGCCTATTGGTGCTCTAGAACGAGTTGCAGTAAAAAGTTATTTCCCGCCTGCTGAGCCAATATCTCTCCTGTGAATGGCTGCACCATTGTGTCCTTCACAATGGAGAGTGCTGACTGGCTGATGTCTGGAGAACAGAGCGGCGATTGGTCCCAAATGCTGCCAGCCTGAGAAGTCACTGATGGTATCCATGGCGGAAGGTAAGCGGTCTGTGATGTGGGGAGAAGGAGCGGGGGATGTGGCGGAACCGGAGACGGGGAGTGACGGGCGCCATTAGCAGGTGGTGAGTGAGTGAGTGGGAGCGCTGTGTGGTGCCCTGTGATGACTGTTATCTTCCCATATTGGGAGAGGAAAGAGTCCATCATATAGTGGAGGACCATGTCTGAGGAGGAAGAGGAGGGGAGCACAGCACATATAAAGAGGACCTGTCAGCATTGGCTGTACGATTCTGTATTCTGATGAGGGCAGTGAGGATGGTAGTAGGAGCTGTCAGAGGTGAGCTCCTGTCATCTCATACTGACCACACCGGCTGACTCCCAGCTCCTACATCACATAACAGGAGCACACCCCCGTATTCCAGCCATCAATATCAATCTTCATCCTGTCACCTCTCCCCTCAGCTGATGTAGAAGCGGATTCCTTATTTTACTATGTGATGATCTAATACAGAGGAATGCCAGAGTCCACCGTGCTGCCGTCCATTCCTCTGCTCTCCATCGGCAGAATGCCGGCTGTCCTACACCATCATGTACAATGTGGGGCTGCTTTGCGTTGTACATGCTTTCAAGGTGAGGGGCAGTCAGAGGTCAAGAAGAAGTATGGATTCAGGGGACTGGTTGTCACAACTGGAAGGTGAGGAAGGCTGCAGGTTCTAGAACTGGAAAGCTGTGGGTTCCGGAAGCCGGCGCCTCGCTCCCCTCCCGGTTCCGGAAGCCGGCGCCTCGCTCCCCTCCCGGTTCCGGAAGCCGGCGCCTCGCTCCCCTCCCGGTTCCGGAAGCCGGCGCCTCGCTCCCCTCCCGGTTCCGGAAGCCGGCGCCTCGCTCCCCTCCCGGTTCCGGATGCCGGCGCCTCGCTCTCCCAGTTCCGGAAGCCACAGCCTTGCCCCCCCCCCCCCCCTCGCTCCCCTCCCGGTCAGGAACCGGCGGCTCCCCCCTAACGGAAGGCTGTTCCCGAAGCCACAGCCTTGCCCCCTCCCCAATCCAGCTCAGGAACCGGGAGGAAGGCTGCGGCGGGAACCGGGAGGAGAGGAAGGCTGCGGGTCCGGGAACCGGGAGGGGAGGAAGGCTGCGGGTCCGGGAACCGGGAGGGGAGGAAGGCTCCTGGCCTGGGAACCTTTTTAGGAAAGAAGGCTGGAGGTTCAGCAACAGGAGGGGAGGAACGCTGCAGGTCCAGGAGCTGGCAGGAAGGGGAACTGCGGGTGCAAGAACTGTTTAGGGAGGAAGATTGCAGCTCCAGAACTAGAGGGGAGGAAGGCTGTGGGTTCAGCAGCTGCAGGGGAGGAAGGTGGCGGGTTCAGGAACTGGCGGGGTGGAAATCTGCTGGTCCAAAATGAATGCTGAAATTTAGGTTTGAAATTTTGCACACTTACATTGGTCCACGTTTGCACAAGGTAGGTATACATCTCTCATACTTGAGTGATCCCTGGGAAAGCTGAAAATCTGTGTGGTAGTTGACATTTCAGCAGTGAGAGCAGTGATCTTGTCAGTCATGTCCTAAGAGATTTCCCTGTGCACACTGACCACAGGAGGTCAGTCACTAGAAGCAGACACCATTTTTTTTTCTTGTGAATACAAGGCCTTCTCTGATTGGACAAGGTGGACTTCATGATGTTACTGTCCTGCCTCTGAAATCTGTTAGATCATCCCTTAAAAATGTGACGTCTTTTAATTATACTCAGAGTTCAGACAAATGTAAGGAAAATAGTTTGGGAGTCAAAGGGTGAATTATTATTTGTATTATTGACACATTAAGGATTGGTAAACTACAGTATATTCAACTTTTATTTTTAATATGCTTTAAATATGGCAGGCCCTGGTGCTGCAAAGGGCAGGCAGTCACTTGCCTATCAATGTCCAAAGAACTGTCCAGCTTTACATGCAGTTTTTGTTAGTGCTGCCATGTGCCATTGTTAACCTGGTAACTTCAGTCTGTTTATAAAGAATTTTTTTTTTTTTTTCCTAGGCTAAGACATGGATGACCTGAACCTTCACTACAGATTCCTGAACTGGAGACGGAGAATTCGAGAGATCCGCGAGGTGCGGGCAGTACGTTACCAGGAGAGGGCCAAGCATATTATGGTAGACGGGGATACCCTCAGGTACGAAGATGGCCTTGGTTTCATGTATCTTTGGGCTGTTTTCTGTACTCTGTGTAGGAGATATTTGTAAAACCGGTGCACAGAAAAGAGATGGTATTGGATGTGACATATGAAATATTTTTATGGTGTAAAATGCTGAGAAGAGATAGTGGTTACTAGAACTACATTATTTCTTTAGTTAGGCTTTAACCCTTTGACTTGCCAAGGATGTGTTTTACACGTTCTGTCTTTAAAAGAGTAAAATCAAACCGATGGCAGTGATAAAGCTAGGGTTTAACAGAGAAGTATGAGTTAACTCAAACCCCCCCTCCCCCCCCCCCAAAAAAAGTTTTTATACTAGCCTAGGTGGATACAGCATCAATCCAATACTGCATCTGTCCCCTGGGCTGAGGAGCCCTGTTTTCCTTTCACTTCTGGGGGTTTTAAGGGTGGTTTAGGAGGTGGTATGTGGACCAGACCACAAGTTTCAGTGGGATGAGGACACCGAGACTGGACTTTGTGGGGGATTGCCTTTACCATCCAGAATGGTGTAGGACATCAAGGTGGCACAAACTACTACTTCCAAGTCAAGGTCTACAATGGGTGAATTGTCCCTGCAGTAATTATGTTTACTTGGTCACTATGACTGTGGTTAGGGGTGTAGTATGTTCCTAGGCATTTTCCCTCCTTGGGTGTTGAATATACATTTTGTTATTTGTTGGATTGCTGCCTGTGGATCTAGCAAGGTAATGGTAAATATACAACACTGCTTTCTCTGACACAGAAAAAGATCTTGGGAGATCAATGTTCTTTTCTAATGGGATTTTAGCTTATGGTAAGTATTTCCTTCTCCTTTACTAATTCCTGAGGTACTGCATAAATATAGTGTCCACAATGTGGTTTGTAGACATACAGAGGAATTTGGTTTAGACCTTCACGCCTCTCCTGATCAGGCTGGGCCTTTTACTTCAAAGTCCGGCGATGCATCCAAGACTGAGTAATTAACACTCCTTCAATGTAGAAAATGTTGTGCTAAGGTATGGGAAGTTAGACACACCAGTTCAGCAAAACCTGCTTGGGGTTTGTCCATGGTGTTTATTGGGCTTTTTAGACTCTCCAGTGTACCAATACCATATTCATCATTTAAAGTTTCTGATTTTGCAGATGGCCTTTCTTCTTGCCATTACCATGGCCAGAAGAGTTGGGGATTTACAAGCTTTTTCCATCATACAGCCTTGTCTGTTTTTCTAGCCAGATTAATACTTAAAGCCAGATCCTTTGCATCTACCAAAGGTAGGTCACGTTATTTTGTAGGACTCAGAAAATTATTCCTTTTGTGAAAGAGATGCTAGGGAAGAGAATGTCTAATCTTTAAATGTTCGAAGATGCCATCTTGGTAAACGTAGGTCTTCTACAAGAAGACCCAGCTATATGCTTGCCTTGTTAGTGTCCTAAAAGGGCTTACAGGCTTCAAAGGCCACAGTGCACTGTCTACCAAGATCCATTTATAAACGTCCTGTTATTCAAGGGGCTAAAACAAGATCATGGCTCCACTGGTGCCTGCAGTGATTCTGGGGCTCTCCTGTTCCTCCATGGTAAACTACTGTAAAATGTAGAGCAGGGGAGCTTGAGGATCCCCAATTATTTCCTATGACTTGATGAACCTGGAACTGCTCTGTATCAGGTCACTTCCAGGTTAAGAACTGTCATTTCCTGGCTACTGTAGCCAGGGAAGCAGCTAAGAGATCAAGATCTGTGTCCAGTTAGCTGCAGTGGCGAGCAGGAGAGACCCCCAGGGTCTAATAGATCCCTGATGTCTCCTAGTTTCCTGATGTCAACATAAAGAGGACCATTACCTGCCCATGCTAATACATAGGGGGCTTGTCAGTCCTTGTTATATCAACATAGATAAATTGGCGAAAAAAGTGTAAAAGAAGAGAAAAAATGTAATTTTGCTAAAACAAAAATATTAAGTTTTTTAAAAGCACCCACTCTCACCCCCATACACACACCCCCAATGCAAACGTTTACATATTGTGCAACACCTGTAAGGTATCAGTGAACGTCCAAATGAAAGTAATAATTCTAGGGTCATAATTTGTGAAGTCCAAACTGATAACTTGTAAAGGATCTTAAAACTTCACCTATGGGTAATTTTTGGGTACTATGGTTTTCACTATTTTACGGGTGCACACAATTTTAAGGTGTGGCATGTTTGATATCTTATTTACTCAATGTAACCTTGACTTTTTTTTTTATTTTTACCAAAAAATTGGGTATTATATTTTGTTCTAAAATTATTTTAATTTTTTTTATTTCCTGAAAATATGCGTTTGATAAAGAGTTGAGCAAATACTATACAGCATTAAAAAAAAAAAAATTGCAAGTACCATAATTTTTTCTTTTGCATGGCCTCTGCTTTCAGGTTTAGCATACCCCTTAACACCAAGAACTATGGATTCTAAACAAGAAGGCAGTGTATACATAGAGCTTAGTTTTAGCTTGGTGTCTTAGGAAGTAGTAAGTCTCAATTCTCTCCTAAAGAATTCTGCCTCCTGTAAGAGCAAAGTGTAGCTGCTTCTTTCAGCCTAGCTAAAGCAGCATTTCTCTCTGGCTCCTCGGGTAATATTGGACACTCATTTTCAGTTCATTCACTGAGGTTGAGTTCTCCTTCTCTCCTTACTTTAGGATCTGTGGAAGCTGTTTCTGAACTTTCATCTGTGCCTGATCTTTCTGGATGATTGAGCCTTCCCACAGACAGCCAAAAGGGGAATGAGAAGTGCCTTTTTTTGCTTTGTGTCTGTTCCCCCTATGGGCAGGACAAATTCTGTGTTCATGCCCTATCGAACAGCTGGTAATTTCCATCTGCGATGTCTGAAGGTCCCATTCACAGCCATTATGGGTTGAAAAAGTGGAAAGAATCAATTAATGCACTTCATGGAGGAGCAACATCATTGACATGCATTGTGATGTCAGCACTCGGATGATGGATTGTCCTAATTGTAATTACCACTTGTGGGTCCCCTAAAATGATAAATACTGAAATGTTTATTGATTAAAGTACTGTATATGTAAACCTTGACCTTGTAAAACAACGCATACAGTTTGAAAAAGAAATGAAAGGCAAAACATTTGTGTATAGATATACAAAAGGGAAAAAAGTTTTTGTAATTTTTTTTATAAGTGATTACATACCCTCTATTCTTAGCTGCATAGAGAGCGGGGGAGGAGAAACAACGGGACACTGGTCTTCCCAGTGAATAGCTGTGCAGGGGAGGTGTCAGCACAAATCTGATCGTTAGAGGAGAGTAGGTTGCTTTCATACAGACACAGCTGATCACATGACAAGGTAAAAGGCCAGAACAGCTAGAAAACTGACCACGCTGTGTTCTCTTGCCTAGTGTGGTCAGTTTTTAATATAAAAGCAGGAAGCAGGAGGGACTAGCAGGAACACCAGGGTTTTCACACAAAGGAAGCAATACATAGAGAACAGGATACTTTTTCATAGAAGTACATGGTAGAGCAGGCACATATCAGCAAAATGAAATGTTAGGGTAACGTATTCTTTAACTGTCCAACCTCACATGATTTCAGCAATATATTTCAAAGGTTAGCTGCATTTCCCAGGGAACTGTTCAAGGCAGAATTATTATAGTAAATGGAAAAAAATCCCCTTTACCTTTTTTTAGACTTGAGTTTTGCAGTATAGCCTACCAATTTTATTTGTTTACATGTCATTTTGATGTAAGGCGACTACTTCCTTGTTACGTGGTTGCTCAGAATAGAAAGAAGTACAGCATGGGAATTTACATTGTTTTTAGCTGGTTGTACCGTGAGTCACCCATTATTACTTATGCTGTATAGCAGCTTACAGAGTTTCTGAATTCCTAAATACATATTTGCATAATAGCCACTATTAGTCATGTTGTCATATTTTGTCTTGATTTTATGTAGGACTCCCGTTTGTCAATTAGTATTTTTAGTTTTTTTTCTTCCAACAGTTTGTTTTTTATTCTATATTTTTTTTCATGCGCAGATACTACGTACAATTTACATAATGCTCTCAGCGGCCACTAAACCTAAAGTGTAAAATATCTGCATTCTTAATTGCAGTACAGACCCTCTGTCCACAATAAGACACACCTACCTGCCTGCTCACAGTATTCTGCTGAATTTACACCAATCTTCACATGTGCAGCTCAATGAGCGTTCCCAGTGTGCTTTGGCTGTGTTGGAATTACTGACTCCCATCGCATGCATGGGATGACATCTTAACCTACTGGCCAATCAAGAGGCCGAAAACCAGGCACCAGAAAGTAGCTGGGGGGGTGGGGTGATGGCTATTGGCGAGGGATGTAACCGTCGCATTGCTGGAAGGTAAAGGGAAGATTTTCCATAGTTTACTTCTACTTTAAGTCAGTGTATCTTATGAGAGACTGGGCATCTGAAGACGGACAAAAAGTGTGCTTGCTGCAGTGCTTTAAAGTGAAAATTCAGAGGCACGCTGTCGGAAGGGGAGAAGGGCACAACATAGTTTTCCACCAAGCACCAAAGGCAGAAGATGGGGCAAAAACTGATGAGGCCTAATTCGCAAGATAAAGTTGCCTACATAGTAACATACGTATTCAAAACTAAGGGCTTGTTCACACCATGAGGCATTATGCCACCCTCTTCTCTACCCACCTCCAGTGTGGCTTTGACCAAGCTGAGATTACCTTTTCCTTTTTGTAGGGAGTTAAAAAATAATTCTATTGTGTCAAGGATTATTCTTTAAAGCAGAAATATTACAGATGGATATGTGTGCTGTTTATTGGATAAGGGCGTGGCAAAGCACAATAGGGCCTCTGCTTGTTGTGTGTGTGACTGGTTTGTAGGGGAAAAGTGTGCTGAAAAGTTAATACGTAACAAAGGAACACCTTCCTAAACATGAAATATCTAAGCCATACAGGAGTACATAACCGCTTTACAGCCGTGCGATAGCCAGATGACAGCTACAGCACGGTTGTCCAGTTCTGGGAGGG